CCAAGTTATCCTTCTTTTCTTCCACTACAAACGGGGTGTCCTTCTTCAATTATTCAAACTGGATTCCCATTTTACTTGATTAAATTCTGCTGCTATCCAGAGCTTCCTCTTCCTATGTAACAGTATTTGGCCTCAACATGGAAACGCTCCATTTCTCAATCATAACTTTTAAAGCTCACAATCACACACAAGACATTTTACCTTTACTCTCTCCCCTTTCCCTTTCATCTAAAATTAATATTCTGAATAGCAGGTCTCCAGTTGTGCAAGAGCAAGCTTACTTAATGTAACACATTCAAGACTCTGTTTTATCCCATTCTGTGGCCTCAATTACAAAATCTTTATTTTTTTCTGGCGAAATATCTCTAGATCACCCATGCAATTTTTCGCTTCCTTAACTCCTGAATAGAAGGTCCCCACACCAATTCAAGAACAACTCTGATGCTTGCAACACCTGGCCCACACCACTCCTTCCTATCTTGCAGGTGTAGAAAAGGGCTTACACATAGCTCTTTCAACAAATTTGTCAATCTTTGTCTTGGAAAGTGTCAGCTGTTTGATCCTCCATATTATGATAGATTCTTTGAGAGATACTACGGGGGGGGGGGGGGGGGGGTACAACAACCAAACCAAACCTGCTGAAATAACATTTTTTCTGTTTATGGCAGCAGTCAGGACAGTATCCTGAAAGTAAAATCAAAAGCCAGTATTCAGTACTGCAGTGTTATACACATACCTGGATTATACAAACACGTAAAACAGGCAGACGTTGTACCTCCAGGTAAACAAAACATCTCTGTGGTCAAGTTTTGAACCAAACAGATAGTAACACGCATTGGCATGTTAGACACGGTCCCAAAAAAATCCATAGCTTAAAGAAGACACATAAATGTAAGTCTCATGAGCAAAGGCCTGTTGTAGCCTTTCTAGCTCTCCCAACAGTAGCATCTACAGAAGGCGTATGATGGACTATCACTAACTCTTCAGACTTCAGAAGTACTCATAAATTTGGAAAAGACTGAAGTTGTTTGTGAATATCTTGCCTCTTTAGATCACAATTTTAAATACGTGCCAATTTTTCTGAGTTTACACATTCAATTTCGTTATACCGAATCCTGTCCCCTGCTCTTTACCCAAAGCTCTGTGGCTGTGTAAATGCTCTGCAATCAAAGGAAAGAGAACTGCACATATGAAAAGGATGTACCACAGAATGAAAAGAAACCCTTGTTAAAAAAAAGAGAGAAGCACCAAATAAAACAACAGAAACATTCTTTCTCTCCTATGTCCAATAACATGTGGAGAATCATTGCAAAAAAATTGTTGCCTTATGTATTACTTGTGAAGAACATGTTCTTCCAAAGCTAGTAATTTATTTTTTGCAGAGTGCACCAACTGTTATTCAACCTCTTCACTACCCACTTGTTTTTTTCCCCCCATTATAAAAGGGATTTAGATTTTTTTAAAAATGTACTCATCTGTAAACTGCATTTCAAATTGATTAAATGACCCAAATAACGTAAAAAAATAGATTTGCTATCCAGCAGAGCGAGCAAGAGGTCTGGAACCCACAATCAACCCTTCCCCTAAATTACTATCTACCTAGCAAAGGTTTTTTTTCTGTGTAATGCTTTCCCCATAAGATAACAAACAGTTTAAGAATAACTACTGTAAAATTTTAGCAATTGAAGATACCATAAATGTATTTTTTTTAACCATTGATATGGATTAGATATTTAACATAATACACATTCTTAGAGGACAAGTAACACCTACACTTGTAGGCAAGTGATGAGAGTCATTTTTGAGGCTGTCTTCTAACATGAGACTAAAACAACATTACCTTTCATGGTTGACAGATAATATGTGGACAGACAAGGAATGACCAAGATCAGCTGTCAGAAGTAGGCTTCACTGAACATACTTTCTGCTTTAATAATCTTTCATGTTGCTCTACTTTGGATAATCATTTCAGATAATTAAGGCATTAAATATCATCCAACATTTCCGTACTCAGTGATGCAATGCGGTTTTACACAACTTAAGAACCAGCTGTAAATTAGAAGAGGTTTGCCATTTCAAAACTTTGAAGCTCACTTCACCTCTGATATGCCGTGGCATTCCAGCTTGTTTAGTTAGCAAACAGTATAGGATAAACACGATTGAAAAGATCAAAATTGCAGGGTCCATAGATACTAAAAGGAGTGCAAAACTCTTTGCTTCAACAAGCCATTTGTATAGGCTAAGCACTTAACATCCAAGCAGCCACCCCCACCACTTCTGATGGTGATCATCTCCCTTTTTCCTTTGGAATTATATAAAATCTGTTCTCTCCCTGAATCTCTTACAACAGCTTGCAATGCCAGACACGCACAAATTCCAGACTCGTGTCTACTGCACGTGGCTTAGCCCATGAACTGTACAGAATTACTCAGACTTGATGCTCACACTGCAAGCCTGACATATGACATGTATTTTCAGACCTATAAATTCCAGAGGGCAATATCCTAATTTGTTGAACCATTCAAAAACTCTGAAAATTCTACTGAATTATGGTAAAAAAAACCAAAAAACAAAAACCAAAAAAAACCTGTAGAAGTTGTCCACCCAAGTACAAGTTTGTTTTTTTTTTAGGAATTCATACATCAATCAGTGCCCACAATGAACAGTTCTCAGAAGATCATCTAATTGTTTTTCCATTCTTCTGATTAGCATATCCCCCAATGCCTTAAAGATCTTTACTCAAATGCAGCACTTGAGAATGAATAATTGCTTTGTGGGATTGTCTGAGCTACTTCTAACTATGGGGGGAAAAATAAAATCAAAGCACGCCACTAATTTTTGTAATCCCTCTGTGAAATAAACACTATCAACCTCTTTCAAGCAATAGAAAGTTGAGGTAGAGACGAGAGTGAAACGTATCCAGTAGTTTCAAGTACCCAGTCTAAAGTTGTTTGGTTTTTTGCCTTTTTTTTCCCCTCCCCAGATTACTTAACATTATATAATAGTTTGCATGTTCAAGACCGTTCACACTGACTTCAGTCACAGCCACATGCATAGGGAACTTTACAAATCAAACATCCAGCTCCTAAAGCCTGACACCCAGTAATGTGGGAATAAACAATTAACAGCTGTGTCTTATCAGCTGGAGTGTAGATGGCAGGCCATAACATCCCACAGGAAGCCTGTGGCAGAGGCAGGGACAGAAGTCACTTCTGCGGCTGCCTTCAACCCTGCAAATCATGCTCATTCTAGCAACGGCCTTTTCGTCTTCAGTCTCCATGATTAATACAATTAATTAATGCTCTTTATTTCAAAGCAACATGTCAAACAGAAACTAAAGTAACTACAATGCTTTGTCCTATTTTCCCCAAACAAACACTAAAGGAAAAAAAAAGCAATAACAGATTATGTCCACAGGTTTGATTAAGAAAAGTAACCTCTCAAAAACAAAAACAGCTCTGTCTCTCCCTCAGGAGTCTGAATGGCTCAGTGTTTTATAACATATATTGTCCAGTACATTCTGCCTCTGCTAATAAAACTCTCTGCATTCAAAGGTGAAGTCCCCTAGCTCCAAAGGAAATTGGATTTATCAATTCTGTAAGTGTTGTTTAAAAAAAAAAAACGAACAAAACTCCTGTTGACATTTCCATGATTTCACCCTCTAGTCAAAGAAAGAAATGTCACCTAACTGCATTTTCCAATTTTATCATCAGAACAACTGCAAACTTTCACTACCTAAACTGTTACAGGACACAAGAGGATGAAAAAGTATTCCAGTATTCCCAACTACACAGCTCAACCCTTCAGATTCCCCCCCC